AAAAAAAAAAGAATAAAAGGTGCGACTTCCCTGGTGGTGCAGTGGTTAAGAATCCGCCTGCCAATGCAGGGCACACGGGTTCGAGCCCTGGTCCAGGAAGATCCCACATGCCACGGAGCAACTAAGCCCATGCGCCACAACTACTGAGCCTGCGCTCTAGAGCCCGTGAGCCACAACTACTGAGCCCACATGCCACAACTACTGAAGCCCATGCGCCTAGAGCCCAAGCTATGCAAAAAGAGAAGCCACCTCAATGAGAAGCCTGTGCACCATAATGAAGAGTAGCCCCTGCTCACAGCAACTAGAGAAAGCCCACGCGCAGCAATGAAGACCCAACGCATCAAAAAATAAATAAATTTATAAAAACAACAACAATAAAGAAAAAAGAATAAAAGGGGAGCAGAGAACAGATTAAGACAAATAAAAAAGAAATGACAACAGTTCCAAACCTAACCATATCAGTGAGTGCATTAAATGTGTCTAAACACCCCAGTTAAATGACAAGAGATCAACAGGTTAGAAAAATAAAGCAATTATTTTTAATCCAATTATATTTTTTAACCAAATTATAAGCTGTGTACAAGAAATGCACTTTATATACAAAAACAGAAACAGGTTAAAAGGATAGAAAAAATAAATCATGCTAACACTAGTCAAAAGAAAGCTGAAGGGCTTCCCTGGTGGCACCGTGGTTAAGAATCGCCTGCCAATGCAGGGGACACGGGTTCGAGCCCTGGTCCGGGAAGATCCCATATGCCACGGAGCAACTGGGCCTGCATGCCACAACTACTGAGCCTGTGCTCTAGAGCCCGTGAGCCACAACTACTTAAGGCCACGCGCCTAGAGCCCGTGCTCCGCGATAATAGAAGCCACCGCAACGAGAAGCCCGCGCACGGCAACAAAGAATAGCCCCCACCCACCGCAACTAGAGAAAGCCCGCGCACAGCAACGAAGAACAAACACAGCCAAAAATAAAAATTAAATAAATAAATAAAATTAAAAAAAAGAAAGCTGGAGTAGCTATATTAATATGGAAGTAAATTTCAGAGCAAAGAATATCACCAAATGTAAAGAAAGTCATCTCACTATGGAAAGGAAGTCAACTGATGAGGAAGATATAATAATCCTAAACAATTATGTCCCTAATATATGGCAAATAAGCACATGAATAGATGCTCCACATCCTTAGTCATCAGCGAAAATAGAACCTCACTGAGATCCCCACAATCACTAGGATGGCTACAGTTTTAGGAAAAGGAAAATACCAAGTATGTGAGGATGCCGAGGACCTGGAATGCTCATACACTGATGGTGTGAATGTAAAATGGGAAAATATTTTGGTAGTTTCTTAAAAAGTTAAATATAAGCCTACATTTGACCTAGTCATTGACTCCTAGGCATTTACCCAAAATAAATGAAAGCATTTGTCCACACAAACTCTTGCACATGAAGGTTCATAGCGGCTTTATTTGTGAAAGCAAAACCCGGAAACAACTCAGATGTCCATCAACAGGTGAATGGATAAACACACTGTGGTTTATCATACAATGGAATGGACTTTTGACACAGGCAACAACATGGATGAATATCAAAATGTTTGTGCTAAGTGAAAGAAGCCAGACGAAAAGGAGTACACACCATATGATTCCATTTATATTAAATTACACAAAATGCAAACCTATCTATGGTGATAGAAAACAGATCAGCAGTTGCCAGGGGCAGGGAAGGGCAGGAGGAAAACATTACAAAAGGGCAGGAGGACACTTTTTTGGTGATGGATATACTCATTGACCTGACTGCGGTTAGCGGTTCACAGGCACATACATATGTCAAAACTTACCAAACTGTACATTTTAAATAGGTGCAGTTTATTTTATGTCAATTATACTTTAATAGAGTTGTTTAAAAAAAAAAAAGATGCAAAGCTTATTTTATACAAAGGGTTACTCTGTGAAATTCCTTAAGGGAGGAACTTTCCGGAGAGCATGCATCTCTGGTCAGCATCCTCAGCATGGAGACTCCCTGTGCAGAGGGTTGTGGTGGCTGAGGCCCTGTGTTCACCCCCCTTGGTGCTAGGTGCACCTCAAGAGAAGGCAGGAGACCCCCTCCCCAAACAGCCTGAGGCGTATGGGATGGCATGCCCTTGTGCCCCATCTGCCTGCCCAGGCCCCCAGTGTCCCAGCCTCGGTCTACCTCCTAGATGACCAGGTCATGAAGACACAGCTGGAGACCAGCACTGGCTAGCCCTCCACCTGAACCAATGGGCCATGATCCCCTCACCCACGAAAAGATATGACCTTCCCCTGAGCTACCAAAGGCGGGGCCGCCTGGGTGCATAGCTGGTGGGAGGACCTAGCTTTCACCTGGACCAGGTGGGTCAGGATGTGTGGCGGTCAGGGCCTATGCTCTAAAGCCAGACAGGGCCAAACCCTGGCCCCTCCGCTTACCAGCTGCATGACTCAGGTACCACCTGGCTTCTCTGCACATCATTTTCCTCATCTATAAAACAGGTCAATGGCAACCCGCCTCCTGGTGTTGCAATGGCAACTGGGGAGTTGAGTCGGACACAGCAGCAAACAAACTGTGTCAGTCCTCTGACCGAGCCAATGGCCCCAACAGGGTTCAGCTCACTAGGTGCCACCATTCAGGGTTGCCCCATGAATGGCTGCAGCCCCTAGGGCCCACTCAGTCCTCCCAAGGAGCGGGGAGCCTCTTGAAACTTCAGGCTGGTCCATCCATGCTACGTCCATCGGACACTACATCCAGTACCATCTTGTCACAGCACAAGGAGGTGGACCAGGTGTCCTCCCAGGTTTCCTGCCCCTTCCTGGCTGGGCTGCAGCTAAACTAGGTTGGTTCACTGATCCTGGACTCTGAAGGGGCACTCGGGGGCTGCCTGTGTCCCTAACAGGCCAGCCCCATCCTCACCTGCTTCACACATCAGGGTTCTGTGTACAAGTTCATTCCTCAGTTCTTGAAAAGCCACTGTGTGCGGTCAACCAAATCTCTGTAGACTCGTAGCTCTTAAACTCAACATCTGAAGCAGGATAACAAGCCATATTTGGCCATACTGGCCTGGGACCACACTATTGTGCTGGTCACTAGCTCCAGACAGCTGTGTAACCCCCAGAGGAGCTGGCTTCAGCAGAGATTCATAGGGTCTTAACAAGCCTGGTAAACCAGCGGGTACAGTTCTAGGGACCCCAGATGTGAGGGCTACCCCTTGACTAAGATCCCTAAATCTGCCTCCAGCTTCATAACGATCTTGCCTCTAGTGACCTCCACCTGGAAGAATAGCCCTCTGCCCACACCAGGCAGACATAAAAGTATATCTATTGTACAATATGATTCCATTTATACGAAGTGTCCAGAATAGGCAAATCCTAAAGACAGAAAGAGATTCATGGTTGCCGGTGACTGAGGGCGGGGGAATGGGGAGTGACTACTAATGGGTATGTGGTTTCTCTTTGGGGTGATGAAAATGTTTTGGAGTCAGATAGTGGTGATGGCTGCATAACACTGTGAATATACTAAAAATCACTGAACTGTACACTTTAAAAGTGACATTTATGTCACTGAATTACCTCTCAATAGTATAATAGTTTTTTTTTTTCAATACTACTAATAATTTTTAAAGGCCCCAGGAGACGGGCTGAGTGACCAGGACTTAGTTCCTGACCTCTAATGCTGCCTTACCCCCACCACTTCCATCCTCCACACTTAGCACATGCCCTCCTGTGATATGGCCTTTGCACCTGCTGTTTCCTCTGCTCAGAATGCTCTTCTAACTGCCCCACAGCTCCCCATCTCCTGTGAGCTCTGCTCCGTGAAACTCGACATCTACTTTCCCCAGCCCATTTATCACAACTCACACTCTGCTTTCAGAAATCAGGTCGTCAGGGGCTTCCCTGGTGGCGCGGTGGTTGAGAATCTGCCTGCCAATGCAGGGGACATGGGTTCGAGCCCCGGTCTGGGAAGATCCCACATGCCGCGGAGCAACTAAGCCTGTGTGCCACAGCTACTGAGCCTGCGCGTCTGGAGCCTGTGCGTCTGGAGCCTGTGCTCCACAACAAGAGAGGCCGCGATAGTGAGAGGCCCGCGCACCGCGATGAAGAGTGGCCCCCGCTCACCGCAACTAGAGAAAGCCCTCGCACAGAAACAAAGACCCAACACAGCCAAAAATAAATAAATAAATTTATAAAAAAAAAAAAGAAGAAGAAATCAGGTAGTCAGACTTGCTGGTGCCCAGTGGACTGGCACTCTGTCACACACAAGGGGTGGGGTGGCCAGCATTGGGGCGCCAGGAACTAAGCAGAAGCATCCTCCCCCAGGCACTCACCTGTGGGATGAAGCCGCAGCACGTCACCGTGTGGAAGCCGAACTTGGTCACATACTGGGGCCCGGCACCCTCAGCCCTCTGGCCTGTCAACAGAAAGCGCTGCTTGTCTCTCTCTTAAATGTCAGACCTCAGCAGAGCATCAGGATGGGCCTGGGCTGCACTGCTGGAACATGGGTGGCTGAGGATATACTACACGTGGTAGGAATTGGTCCACACATGGACCAGCAAGGACACACCTATCTCAAGCACACTGGACAGCAGAGCTGGATATCAAAGGGGTCATGAGCTGATTCTACTAGCTTATCATCAAAATTCTTATCTAACAATCTCTGTTTTCACACTGCAGTCTACAGGCAGGTGGTGTGCAACCCAACCCATGACTGAAATGTCCCCCTAGCACGAACCCAGGGTAGACGCACCCAGGTCAAGGGTGCACAACAGCAGGTCTGAACATACCCACTCTGTGCTCCTCCTCCCTCAACTTCTCCCTGAGCTTCTGGTTGTAAAGGTGCAAATCCGCCATCTGGTCTCCAAGTTTTGATGCCTGACTGAGGAAAGAAGAAATGCAGCCAAGTAAAATAAGAAACAACAACCAGCTCGCATGTTCCATTTTGAGAAATGTTTTAAATACCTTAAAAACTACTCTCTGTTCTTTAAAAACTGAAAAAAATGAACTGTAGGCAATGGCCTCCAAAAGACAAAATAGTATAAAATCACCAAGAGGGGTAGGCTTCTGTTGAAGCCCATAGAGGTACTGGGAATTAAGGGACAAATCAAGGGAAAAAGTAATGTTAAGCAGAAAAAAAAGAAAAAAAAAAAGGCTCCCAATTTTTGTAAAAACAAATGTAAATCACATATAAGAAAAAGACTGGGGGCTTCCCTGGTGGCACAGTGGTTGAGAGTCCACCTGCCAATGCAGGGGACACAGGTTCGTGCCCCGGTCCGGGAAGATCCCACATGCCGCGGAGCGGCTGGGCCCGTGAGCCATGGCCGCTGAGCCTGCGCGCCCGGAGCCTGTGCTCCGCAACGGGAGAGGCCACAACAGTGAGAGGCCCACGTACCACAAAAAAAAAAAAAAAAAAAAAAAGACTGGGATGGTAATCACACACCAAAATGTAGCAGTGACTGCTTCCTGCTTCTGGGATGACAGGTGCCTTTAGTTTTCTTTACATGAGTTTGCAACTTCCACCATTTTTTAAACAATGAACATACATAACTTTAATAATTAGAAAAAAAATTAAGGACTTCAGATAATTACTAGATCAGACCTCACTGCCCAAACTGAGCTGGCACGGTGCCCTCTGAGCACAAAGCAATGGATGGTTCAAACACGCTTATTTGGCACAACTTTGTGGAGCCAAACTAACCTCAGACTCTGATCCTGCATGGAAAGCAAGAGCTCCTGCCTCCATCAGGGATGGCAGGTGTGGCTCTTGGCCCTGCCTCTGCTCCCTGCATGGAGTTGGATGGGCAGCTCGGCAAAAGGCTGCTCCCCCTCTCTCTCGTCTTCCTCTCTCTGTCTCTCTGTCTCCCTCTCTGTCTCTGTCTCTGTCTCTCTCTCTCTCTCTCTCTCTCACACACACACACACACACACACACACACACACACACACACACACACTCTCTCTCTCTCTCTCTCTCTCTCTCTCTCTCTCTCTCTCTGTCTCTCTGTCTCTCTGTCTCTCTGTCTCTCTCTCTCTCTCTCTCTGTCTCTCTCTCTCTCTCACCTGCTCAGGCCCCTCATCTTCAGATGCTCCATCACAAAGGCAGCCCCACCTCCAGGCAGGTCAATCACCTTGATAGGCTGAGGCGCCCGCACCAGGCCGGTGCTCCGAAGAGCCTCCAGGCTCGCCATCTCCCCCTCAAACATCTGCCGGGCCTGCGTCCAGAACACGGCCGTGAACTCCGACGCCAGCAAGGGCTATGCAGCCAGGCTGAGGCTCACAGCCCTGCACAGAAGCCACCATGTGGGATTGCAAGCACCCAGGACCTCCAGTTGCTGAAAACTGGCTGGGGAGCAAGGCATTAGCCCCCAGAGGGTGGGACGCAATGTGGCCCCCTTTGGATAGGAAGGGGCTGCGCTGAGAGCTTAGGGTGGACAGGATGCTGAGGCCTGCACCAAGTGCTTGCTCTGAGAGGTAAGGAAGCACAGGCCATGGTGGGGTGGGGTGGGGTGCTGGGGGTGCTGGGGAAACCTTCGGGTGCTAGGAGTGCCATGGGGGTGCTGTGAGGTGCTGGGAGTGCCATGAAGGTACTGTGGGGTGGTGGGAGTGCTATGAGGTGTTGTAGTAGACCATGACGGTGCTGGGGGTATAGTGGGGTGCTGTGGGGTGCCACAGGGTGCCATGGGGGTGCTGGTGGGGTGCCTTGAAGTGCAGGTTAGTGGAGGGTATGGGGCTGGGCCTGGGTCCCCTTCCAGGTTACCTGCCCCGACAATGCCTTGAGCACTTACAGCAAATGAGAGGCAGCACAGGGCAGCATGGGGGGCATGCCAAAGTGACTGGGGCACACACTTGGGGCGGGGGAAGGCAGGGGCTGGGGTGTCCAGGGCCAGTCCCCAGAGGCAAGCACCCACTAGGGCCTGGAGGCTGGGAAGGAGCCATGCACCCCACCCAAGAAGAAGACAGCCACTCCCCAGGGCAGCGGAACAGCCTCCACTGGGACCCAGGGGTCTTCCTACTTCTAAAACATTTTGTACAAATATCTCATTTTTAAATTAGGTGAACTCTCACCTTAGGTACACTACATCTGGCTTAAAAATGTGTTTGTTGGGCTTCCCTGGTGGCACAGTGGTTGAGAGTCCGCCTGCCGATGCAGGGGACCCGGGTTTGTGCCCCAGGCCGGGAAGATCCCACATGCTGTGGAGCGGCTGGGCCTGTGCGCCCTGGCCGCCGAGCCTGCGCGTCCGGAGCCTGTGCTCCGCAACGGGAGCGGGCACAACAGTGAGAGGCCAGCGTACCGCAAAAAAAAAAAAAAATGTGTTTGTTGGGCTTCCCTGGTGGCACAGTGGTTGAGAGTCCGCCTGCCGAGGCAGGGGACCCGGGTTTGTGCCCCAGGCCGGGAAGATCCCACATGCTGTGGAGCGGCTGGGCCTGTGCGCCCTGGCCGCCGAGCCTGCGCGTCCGGAGCCTGTGCTCCGCAACGGGAGCGGGCACAACAGTGAGAGGCCAGCGTACCGCAAAAAAAAAAAAAAAAAAAATGTGTTTGTTAATATGGTTTGTGAATACCTCTGGCTTATAGAATTAGCCTTTGTGAACAAGATCAAAGCATCTATTTCCACACAGGAAAAGAATTCCATCCTTTAATTCAAGGACCTGAGGGGAGAACGTGCAAGGTGTCCTCCTAACTGCCAATCCACACATAGAATCATGGAGCGGGGTGTCCAGTGACCCCCAGCCATGCTCCCAGGGTGAGACCCAAAACGTACAGGGGAAGAGGACACCTGGGCTCCAGATTGCTTACATCCTGAGGGCCTCACCTATCACCTGTTCTCGTGTATTGATTGATCACCTCCTGTGTGCCAGCACTGAAGGTTTCAAGGGTGAAAAATGGGATCCCAGCCTGGAAGAGCTTTCAGGAACCAGCTGCGAAGTTTCCAGGGCCAGTGTGAACCCTGAACCCAATACCGTTTCCCAGGGGGTGGGCCTTATCGTTTTGAGGGATTTGGGTACTGAAACCAGATTCTTTAACAGTTCCTGGTGCCAACAGAGCAGGGATGCCGGACCAACGCCGACCCACCGTCCATCCTAAACGTTGGCAGTGCTGCAGGGGGACTGGAGGGGTCACTCTGGGATTTCCTCCAGCCCACAGCCAACACCCCCTCCCCACTGCCGCATCTCAAAGGGGCCTGGCCCACAGAGCACCAGGGGCCTCCTTGGAGCTGCCCAAAAGGGCCAAGGGAGCGCCATCCTCAGCACTTGAGGTGCACACACTATGTTCAGTTTTCTCCATCAGTAAAGTGTTACTATTTTCCATGTATATTTAACAGCAATATTTTAAGCAGGCAATGGAAACCAGGACCAACACAAGCACGGCCTTGTAGAAGGAACAGAAGAAGCTTGGCCCTCTGTGTCGGGCAAGGGTTCTTCCTGCCTCTTTCCATCTGCGGGGGAGGACCCAGGGGCTGTGGGGAACGGAGTCCGGAGCTGAGCCCCTGGGGAGTGGCAGAAGCAGCCCAGGACCCCAAGCTTCACCTTCCCCCATGCTTGAATGGTTGAGAAATTAAAACAGACACCAAAAACTCCTGTGCATCCAGGCAAAAGGAAGTAAATTAATCCCGGAGCAGACAAAACCTCGGAATCCCACAGAAAACGCTTGAGCCTCTGCAAGGCCGCAAGCTGACCCCGGGGCTGTGACTGCCAGGCCTGGCCCAGGACCAGACCACAGCGCTCCCTCTCCCCGAGCCCCTGAGCGCCTGAGCCCCCTCACCACCTTCCTCTCGTCCCTCCATTCCTTCCAGCCCTCCCCCACCCTCAACCCCTTCTCCCCTCCAGCTCCTGGGGCAGGCTCAGGCCGCAGGGAAGGGTGGGGTGGGATGGGGTGGGGGGCACGCACCAGCGTCCTGCGGTTGATTTTGATGAACACGGGACCGGCATCCGTGTCGTAGGCGCGTCCCTCGCTGATGCAGCCGGCCCCGGGGCTCCCGAAGGCGCGCAGGGTCGCGGTGCGCAGCTCCGCGCGCAGCAGCTGCTCCATGGGGCCGGCGGCGGGATGGGGGACGGGAGACACGGGGACACGGGGGACCTGGGACCGCGCAGACAGCGGGCCCAGACGCGAGCTCGCCGCTGCCGAGGCAGCTGTCCGCGGGGGAGGCGTCTGTTTAGCCTAAGGGCTCCCAGCGCCCGGGGGTCCGGCCTCCCGGTCTTCCTCCCGCAGGAGAGTGAGGGCGGGGGTTCAGTCAGGCCGGGCAAGCGCTCGCCGCCCCCACCCAGTAGGCCAAGCCGGGTGGATCCAGCGCTATGGGAGGAGGGCGGAGCTCTCTGATAGGGGGACAGACGTGGGGGCGGTGCCCTCCCGTGTGTCCACAGTCAGTGAGCCTGGACCCGGCTGGGACTTGCCCAGGGCCCTGTAGGGCCTGATCTCCCTGCACGGAGGCTCCCTGAACCCTCTCTGAGCCTCGGCCCAGAGCCCTCCCACCCAGCAATACCCAGGACAGTCCAGGGGAGATTGCTGTCCCTGGGATGCAGGTCACAGGCCTTGCTAGGTCTCACACTGTCCACAGAAGGCTGGCGGTCTTGACCACGTCCTGCCAGGCCCCAGGCACTGCCTGGTGACACCGGTTGCTGGCACTGGGCTTGCTTGTCAGGGCACCTGGTGCCCATCAGAGATAGTGTCTGCTCTTGGGGTTCTGATACCAGGCAGCTGACCACACCCGGAGTGGGACTCCTGATTACAGAGGCTGGCTGTCCCAGGAAGGGAGCTTCCTGGCACAGATGTGCCAGGACTTCCCTCGTGGTCCAGTGGTTAAGACTCTGCTCTCCCAATGCAGGGGGCCCAGGTTCCATACCTGGTCAGAGAACTAGATCCCGCATGCCACAACTAAAGATCCCACATGCCATAATGAAGATCCCGCATGCTGCAACTAAGACCAAGTGCAGCCAAATAAAGAAAAAACACACACATGTGCCATGCGCACAAAGGCATGTACACATGCCCTCACACATGCATGGCCGAGAGCAGGTGGGCAGGAGACTGTTTGGCATCTGTAGGAAGGGTCTGACCCCTGCAAGTCTCCCTCCTCCCAGCTCTCCCTCTCAGTCTGGCGAAGCCCAAGCTCCTATTGCATCCCAAAAAGGGATCCGTGACAGTAAAGATGAGCTCTCGCACTTCTGCAGACGTCTTTATTCTCCATGGGCATTCCTGCTGGATATGGAATTCCAGGCTGTTCTTGCATCACTGAGATGGCTCTGTGGCCTCATCTTCCAGCTCCCATGCTGTTGAGAAGCTGGAAACCAGTTGGATTCTTATTCTCTGTGTGGAAACTATTCTCTCTCTGGAGGCTTTTGGATCCTCTCTTTGTTGCCCGTATGTGACAATTCCCCAGGGAAGTGCCCAAGATGAGTCTCCTCTGGGCAGGACAGGTGGGCCATTTCAGGACGGAAACTTGGGTCCTCCAACCCCGGGAAGTTGCCTTCAGCTTCTTCAGCTTTTTCCTTATGATTTCCATCCTGTTTTCTCTGTTCTCTCGGAATTCCAAATCTTTGGTCTGAACCCAGTCCCAAAGCTGCCAGAGTCAGGTGCCCATGAGCTCCACCCTTCTGCCCCCTCCTGCCCTTTCTTGCAGGAGACGCTGGTCTTGACTGAGCCCCATTCTGGGCTGTGGCCACAGTTTGCCCAAGCAGGGTCTGAACATGCTGGGTGGCAGCCAGGCAGGGGCACACCATCTTACTGGTCCCGAACCCAGGCACTTGGGGCTGCTCCCCAGGCCTCCCAGCTCCCATCTGGGCAGCCCTGGGTCCAAGGGCAGAATCCCCAGCATGAAGTCACGTGCTAGGAGAGCACTCTGACTTCACAAACCAGCCCACCCTCCTCCCAAGCCTGCATTTGAGTTTTGGTTTGTGGTAGGAAGCTTAACTGGGAGATGTGACTCAGACACATCCATGCAGCCCCTCTCCCACTACGGCCAGTCTCCTGGTTCCCCAAGAACCAGAATGATGGCTGCAAAGGTGCAGACGGCACCTCTCAGCCCCAACTGTAGCTAAAACGCAGGTAGCTGTTGCAGGAGTTCTCAGGAAATGTATCTGGAGGTGTGGATTGGGGTGGTAGAACCAGCCAAGGTACTGGGGTCACTGTGCAGAGGAGCGACTCTCCTGCTCGCTCAGACCTTTACGGTGAATACCGAGTCCAGTGGCACCGAGAAGGGAAATACAGCCCATGGCCAAATGTGTCCCATTGCTCCATGTGGGGGGAGTCTCAGGAGGGTGGGGAGGGTGTAATTCTGCTCAGAAAAGGGGCACCAGGAAGGCAGCCGTGGGCACAGCCCCAGGGCCATCACAACAGACCGTTCTGAAATCAGGCAGCTGGGGCAGGGGTTGGGATCCTAAGGCCTGGCTGCCAGCAGGGCCGGTGGACGTGGTCCGGGTGTCAAGGCTAGCCCACCATCCTGGCCTTCACCATAAGCATACTGCATTCATGCCCCTCACAAAGACGCCGGGAAAGGGAGGGGTATTCTGCCACCTCTTAGGAATTCAGAGTCGGCTGTGATGGGGTGGCTGTTCCATGCCCACCACAGTCCCCCACCACCCTGATCTCTGATCGCTGTTTCTGAACAATTTCCAGGATATCCGCACACTTCTGCCCAAGAGGAAACCCCAGCTGGGAGGCAAGTTCTCACACAAGGAGCTTTTGGAAGCAATTTCACTGGGAGAAGATGAGGAGGACAGAGGAAGCTGCCCCCCACCCCTCACCCTGGGAGACAGGCTCTAGACATGCTGAGCAGTGTTTACTGGCAGGGCTCTCCCCAGGGAGTTAGTTCATCTCCAACAAGCCCATGGGTGTTGTTACCTGGGCCCACTTTATTTTTTATTTTTTTAAATTTATTTTATTGAAGTATAGTAGATTTACAGTGTTAATTTCTGTATAGCAAGGTGATTCAGTTATATATTTATATATATATTTTTTCATATTCTTTTCCATTATGGTTTATTACAAGATATTGAATATAGTTCCCTGTGCTATACAGTAGGTCCTTGTTTATCTGTTTTATATATAGTTGTTTGTATCTGTAATCCCAAATTTCTAATTTATACTTCCCCTACCCGCTTTCCCCTTTGGTAACCATAAGTTTGTTTTTTATGTCTGTTTGTTTCATAAATAAGTTCATTTAAGTCATATTTTAGATTCACATGTAAGTGATATCATATGGTATTTGTCTTTCTCTGTCTGATTTACTTAAGTATGACAATCTCTAGGTCCATCCATGTTGCTGCAAAGGGCATTATTTTTATTTTTTATTTATTTATTTATTTATTTATTTTGCGGTTCGCGGGCCTCTCACTTGTGGCCTCTCCAGCCGCGGAGCACAGGCTCCGGACGCGCAGGCTCAGCGGCCATGGCTCACGGGCCCAGCTGCTCTGCGGCATGTGGGATCCTCCTGGACCAGGGCACGAACCCGTGTCCCCTGCCTCGGCAGGCGTACTCTCAACCACTGCGCCACCAGGGAAGCCCCAAAGGGCATTATTTTTTATGGCAGAGTAGTATTTCATTGTATATATATATATATACCACATCTTCTTTATCCATTCATCTGTCGATGGACATTTAGGTTGCTTCCATGTCTTGGTTATTGTAAATAGTGCTGCTATGAACACTGGGGTGCATGTATCTTTTTTTTAATATATAAATTTATTTATTTTTGGCTGCATTGGGTCTTCGTTGCTGTGCATGGGCTTTCTCTAGTTGCATCGAGCTGGGGCTACTCTTAATTGCGGTGTGCGGGCTTCTCATCGCGGTGGCTTCTCTAGGAATGCAGACTTCAGTAGTTGTAGCATGTGGGCTCAGTAGTTCTGGCTCACGGGCTCCAGAGTGCAGGCTCAGTAGTTGTGGCTCACGGGCTTAGTTGCTCTGTGGCATGTGGGATCATCCCGGACCAGGGCACGAACCTATGCCCCCTGCCTTGACCGGCAGATTCTTAACCACTGCACCACCAGGGAAGCCCCGCATGTATCTTTTTGAATTAGAATTTTCACCTTTTCCAGATATATGATAGGAATGGGATTGCTAGATCATATGGTAACTCTATTTTTAGGTTTTTAGTTTTTTGGTTTGTTTTTAAGTTGCTCCTGGTTGAAAATCAGTGGGTTTTTTCCTTTTTTTTAAAATTTTGACTGTGCTGGGTCTTCGTTGCGGCACGCAGGCTCTTCACTGTGGGCTTCTCTCTAGCTGCGGTGCACAGGTTTAGTTGCCCCGTGGCATGTGGGATCTTAGTTCCCCGACCAGGGATTGAACCCATGTCCCCTGCATTGGAAGGTGGATTCTTAACCACTGGACCACCAGGGAAGTGCTATTTTTAGTTTTTTAAGGAAACTCCATTCTGTTCTCCATAGTGGCTGCACCAATTTGCATTCCCACCAATGGTGTAGGAGGGTTCCTTTTTCTCCACACCCTCTCCAGAATTTATTTGTAGACTTTTAATGATGGCCATTCTGACTGGCGTGAGGTCATACTTCACTGTAGTTTTGATTGGCATTGTTCTAATAATTAGCCATGGTGAGCATCTTTTCATGTTGTCCATCTGTGTCTTCTTTGGAAGAATGTCTATTTAGGTCTTCTGTTGGGCCCACTTTAGGAATGGATTCAAAATTCACGTAAGTCACTTGAGACTCGCCTCTTGTACTGGTCCCCCAGCCCCTAGTACAGCATGGTTTCCATTACCTGAGGTGGAAGGTCTCCAGGCTTCTAAGACCATTCACTAGGATGGGTTCCTGACCCCTCCACTAGGATGTCATAGACACACAATCCTGTGTGATGCAGGGCAAAGGTTTGCTAGATTCATGTCTGTTTGGAGCAAACTGGCACCTTCTTCCAGGGTTTGGGTGCACTGCTCTCTGAAGCAAACTTTCCAAAATGAACTTTCCAAAATGTGCATTTTCCTCCCTGATTTTGGCTATAATTTCCCAGATTCCCTCTGAATCCCAAACAGAATCCAGCCCATAACATCATCCCATAACAGAGTCCCAACAGTTTACAAGTGTCTGACACTGCCCTGCAGACGTGAAGCTCAAGACAGCACAGTGGTGGCCTGTGGCCTCCACGGCTGCTGAAACACCCCTTTGTACAGCAAGACGGACCCCTGTCAGAACCCCTGCTTTTTTTTTTTTTTTTTACAGTCCGGGGCACCCCTTCAGTCAGACCCTCTTCCACGAGAATTCCCTCTGTCGTCTCAGCTGGTGGTCTGAGCCACAAACCTACAATGAGCCTGAGAGCGATCTCAAAACCCAAGCCCTGAAGATACACACTTCACTTCCAAGATAGCCTTCCAGGCCTTGCCTCAGTCTGTTCTGGACGCCACCAATTATACAATTCCCTGGTGTTTCAGAAGCAGCAAGTTAGATTTGAAGGAGGGGGAATGTGAGAGGACATGGGGACAATATTCCCCTATCCATTTGTGCCAGCTTATCCTCAGATGCACAGAGGGGCCTTCAGGGAACAGAACACTCCACAAACAGCAACTCTTGGGAGTCCAGTGGCCTTTTGGCCTGAGGTTTATACAATTTTGGCAACCCTTTATATAGGAATATATATACTTATGAATACAAAATTATATATAAAAGTAGATATTTTAGAATAAGCTATCGCAGCAAACTGCAGTTTAAAAAGCTGACAGAGGGGACTTCCCTGGCATCCAGTGGTTAAGACTCTGCGCTTCCACTGCAGTAGGCACGGGTTTGATCCCTGGTCAGGGAACTAAGATCCTGCATGCTGCCCAGCACAGCCAAAAAAAAAAAAAAAAAAAAGCTGATACTGCGCCATCACAAAAGTGGGGAAACACCATAAAATTCTCGCTTGAGTGCCTGCCATACCTCTGAGGTACTCCCCGATATCTCTGCCTTGACTGCACTTGCTGGCGGCCTACCTAAGATGCGGCACTCCAGGAAAGCTCCGGCCTTGGCTCTAGTCCCTGGTAATGCTGGGCTGACATGGCGGGGGCCACCATGGGGCAGAAGCAGCCACTCCCTGCACCTGGCACAGCCCCCAGGCATAAGCCCCCCCCCCATCCACCTGGTGTATTCCTCAGCTCAGGGCCGGGGCCCCAGGAGGGGAAGGGGGGACCAGGGATGCCTGCTGAGAGGTTTGTGGGGGACAGGTTTCTCCCCAACATGCCTCCTGGCCCAGGCTGGGCCTGATCCAGACACCGGATTTCGCTTGGAAGTTTCACAGCAGGTGTCCTGCTGGGGCAACCTCAGCCCACGAGTACAGTGAGAAATTTCCTCCAACTGAAATACATCCTTCCTGTGTCATCTTTCATCAATCACACACTCTTTGCGCATGGAGAAATTTTATTTTTTATGCCACTGCCGCCACTGCAATGAAGAAACATCAATAACTGAGAGTTTAAAAAGGGTAATAATGAAAGAAAAAAAAAAAGTCACAGTCCTCTCTCCCGTCCCACAAAAAACAAACTCTGAAGGCATCAGTTCTGCTTCTGATTTCCACTGAGGGGCCCTGACCTGTAAACAGAAACAAAAAGATGAGAGGCAAACGTGTACACACCCTATTGGACCCACCTCGTGAGACACTGTCCTCTCTAACACCCGCATCCTCCAAGCCCTGAGCCAGAGCTAGTAGGGGCCACCAACTGGCTTCTTCCCTGAAATGCAATTTGATAGTTAATCTTCAACCTCCCTTTACTGTTAACCAAATCTCACAGGGTGAGAAGAACAGCAGTTAAACTGGACCTGAGTCTCGCGTAGCAACAAGTCCTCAGGCCACACCTGCATCTGTCCTTATCTGGAAGCTCTGAGCTATTCTCTTACTGATCAAAGCCAAGAAAAACAGTGTTCCTTTAAGAAACAACAGTTGTACCTATTTATTTTCAGAATATATTACAAAGGTTTCCTGGCAAACAGCTCCAATAAATATTGAATTATGATTTAAACAAGGGAAATAAACACTCTCAGGCATCGCTGAAACCACTGAAAGTTTATTCAAATTTTTACATAAAGGGATTTGTTAGCATCAATGCCATTCGTGAACATTTCTCACCACTGCAAGACTGAAGGAGGGAAACCACTGGTTTAGTGCTGGTTTCTACGATGCAAATGAATGACAACTCACAAGCTTTAGAAATCGGCAGTTGACGGCTGCTAACAGAAGCAGTTCCCTGGCTCCTAAATCGACCAGGGACACTGAGGCGAACAGTTTGGTCACTCCCAGAATGCGTCCAGACCTGCTCCGCCTGCGGCAGGTCCAGGGGCGGCACAGAAAGGAAGGAGAATGTGCTGGGTTTAGAACTGATCATCAGGAGGCGCTCCTAGACGACGCCTTCACGTCTAGACCCAAGTCTGACCCACCAAGAAGCGTTACCCCGGACAGTAGGCCTCCCCTCTCCTCTACTGGAGAGGAGACTGGGAGTCGGTGGGAAGGTGCCCTTGGTGGCAGCACCTGGCACCCTGGCTAGCTCCCTTCTTTACTTTCGGGGCAGCTGCGGGTTGGACGCAGCCCACCCGCCCTCCATTGGTCCCTTGGTTCACATCCAATTTCTAGTGCAGTTTTATCCAGCTATGAAGTCTAACTTTAGGATGATAAAAACTTTATTCTGAGATGCCACGTACTTTACAAGGCTTGGAAAGTTGGTTTGAAGCTACTCCAGGGTGTGAAGAAATGGGAAGAATCCCTGAAGAAGAGGCTGAGGAGGAACCAGAGGCTGGCCACAGGCGTCAGGTTAGGATCTGGTAACCCGAACTCAGGCCTCCCTCCCGCTCTCATTTGATGAGATTCCTCATGATGCTGAGGGAGGACCCTCTGTACCCTGATCCAAAGTGATTCCAGTGGTTCAAGTAGTGGAAGAGCTGATACAGCTTAAGGCGCTTCTCGAAGCCTGGGGCCTTGGGGACTTTGCTGTGGTAGGCAGAGTAAAAGGAGCCACTGAAGCCCCCGAACATGCCAGCTATTGCCAGCTCATACTCCGAGTGGCCGTAGAAGGAAGCTGGGTCAAAAATGATGGGCCCAGAGGAATCCTCCGCCACGTTTCCTCCCCAGAGGTCTCCGTGGAGCAGGGCTGGGACGATGTCCAGATCATGGAACAGGTCAGGGATCTTTAACTGCGGGGGAAATGAAGCCTTAGCAAAGTGACCAATGCACACAGGAGGGACACAGAGGCTTTTCTGAGTGTGGCTCCCAGTGCCCAAGCAGGGCCTTATCAGTGCACAGGTACACAGACATGCCCACCTCTCATCTAGGCCCAGGCCCAGGTGGCTGCACCAGCTGCAGGGCCTTCCCATTAGGCTTGCAGGGCATGATGGGCACAGGCTGAGAGGGGCGAAACTCACCTGCAGAGCAGCCCAGAGCTCACGGGCCTCCCTGTCCCCAGACCCCTGTTCCAGCAGGTCCATCTGAGGCTGAATGCGCTGCCGGGCATAGAACATGACCCAGTCCCTCTGCCAGTCGTTCACCTGTGTGGTTGACAGCAGAGCTCAGAGGAAAGCGCCAGAGCAAAGGCAGAGCAGGCTGGTCCCCAGAGGCGCCACTGCAGGGACCATTGTAAAGGGGTGGAGCTGACCAGGCAGCCTGGGGTCTGGAGGACATGCTGGGACCAGCAGGTTCCCGGACAACCTCCCACAACCTCCCACGCATCTCAAGATCTGAACAGTGTGGACTGTGCCCCGTGGGATACTCAGTGCTCCCCTCCCAAGCAGCTACCTGCCTTTCCTCGGAGGGCGAGGCCACCGTCTTACCCACTCAGCCCAAGTATGACTCCCCAGGCTGAAATCCCCAGGGCAGCCAACCACAAAACCATAAAACTCAAAGTTACAATCCCTTTTCATTAAGCTACCTTTGAGAGTTTCCTACTTAAAATAAAACACGGTTTAACTTTCTAATTTTCACCCACCTTGAAATCCAGCATCCTAACTTGCTGGTCCTTCTCTGCTCCTCTGAGCTTACCTAGCATGTGGGGTGGATACTCCTTATATATACTGCTTAAAATTAGCAAAGAAAAAAAAGGAGCAAAGACCTTCTACCAAATTTCACCAAAAAAGAAAGAGGGTGTGCTTTCCACAGCTGTTTCTGAACGGCTGGCCTGACTGGGAAATGCAGGCAAAATGCTGGAGTCACTCACCTGGGGGAGGTACCCACAGCACGTCACCACGTCAAAGCCAAACTGGTCCACAAAGGGCCGCTCCACTTGCCCACCTCCTTTCCCTTGCAAGCAAAATGAAACGAGAGAGATAACAGTCCCCTCGCTCCCTCGGGGCCAGCTCTGGGAGCTCAAAGAAGCTCTGAGGCCTGACCTCAGAGTGCCCTTCTCCACCTCATGTCCTCATCCAAACAAGGGCCCTGGGCTCCGGGACTCAGGAACAGAGCCTGTCTCATCAGAGTCAACAATCCAAAATACCCACTCCTTCCCAGGAGAGGCACCAGAGGATGCTCAGAGGAGTGACCACACTGTCTCCAAAAAAGGAGGGAAAATCCACCCCATAACCCATCAGGAAAGGACAGCTTTCAGTGGCCAGTTTAGCATTTGCCACTTATGAAAGATAAACTGCTGTACTTGTAAATGATCTCATCCTCTGCAGCTCCCTAAACTCAAAGCAAATCCGGAAGAACTGAACTACATGTAAGTGGAAGGGACGAGGCCATCTGTCTGTCTAACACAGTAGGTTCTTGGTCGTCTGTTCCTGGTGTGTCTGCTATTCTGCCTAGCAGAGTAACCATATGGGCTACACATGGATTATCAAACGTCAAAGGATGAAAATCCAGGAAGACACCCTCAGTGCTACCACCACAGTAAGCCCTAAAAAGGTCAGACGTGAGGGCTATCATTCTGAGTCTCATGTGTGATTGTTCCTAGAAGAAAAGACATGGTATGGTAAGCCAGAGAAACTTTGATAGGCTTTCTTCTGGGGAGTGAGAGGTCAAAGGAACCGTAATATGATAGGATTTTGAGTTCAGGGACTATCTCCTGTCTTTCAAATGCATTTTCGAGACAATACACTAATTGTATTCACTGTGTTCACTGCACCCCAAACATGCCTTGGGGTTTACATTCCTTTCCTGTGGCAGCAACACAGGTATGACTGTACACAGTGGCAGCACAACTCCACCCACGCACCCATACTGGCCAGATGTCTTCCTCTGGGGGGGGCGGGTCCCTCGGGCCCACAGCCATACCCACTGTGCCAGCCTCCTTCTGGAGAGTCTCTCCAAGCCTCTTGTTGTCTAGGTGTAGATCTGCCAGCTGGGTTCCAAGCTTTGCAGCATGACTGTAAAAACAAAAGACAGCCACTAAACTCATGGTACAAATGGGGACCCACCTCCATTTGAAAGGTCTCAAGCCACACAAAGTAGGTGAGACAGTAAGGGTAAGAGTCTGTTCTGGTGAAGCAAGCGGGAGATGGAGGGCCTCATCTGAGTCTGCAGCCAGGTCCTTTGTCAGCATCTCACCCTGAAATTCCTCTCCTGTTTGCTTTTGGCCCACAGAGTACATGCTGCTTATTCTGCAGAACCCAGATGTGCCGGGTCATGGGTTCCTTCTATCACATCCCACAAAATTATACCCCCAAATGCAAGCTTCCCACTCAGAGAAAGAACAAAGGCACCCAGAGGTGAAGGTGAAGCAAACAAACCTGCTCAGATACCGCATGTCCAAATGCTCCATCACCAGCATGCTGCCACCTCCAGGGGCATCGAGGACCTTGATGGGTTTGGGCACCTTCACTGTGCCTGTCTTTAGGATGGCAGTTAAGCTTGCCATCTCACCTTCAAACATCCTTTTGGCCTGTCAGAGAAATAACCGGGGAGGGGAGAAGGAGGAAGAGCAAGGCTCTGTGTAGACATGTTTTCTCCAGCACCACAACCAAGGCTGACTGCAGACTCAATAGAACAGACGGCTTTTCCACTTTTCAGTAGAGCAGATTACACGTTCTGAAGCTGCACAGGAATTAGAGGGATTGTACTTTCTAGTCTTGTATGTTTATACTGTCATTGATCCCAGTCTCTCCAAAAAGAGGAACGTATGCCTGGTGCAGAGCTGGACTGTGTAACCAGTACCTCAACCACAGTCCTGTCCCAGGGGGCCCTCACGCACAGGCGGCCCCCATCTGCGTGTGCCAGGAAGCTGGCATCACTTCTCACCCGAATGGACCACCAAGTCCTATGGCATCTCCTACCCGGCACTGGAAACCACCTCATCTCCACCACCTTTCCCATTTCCAGTCCAAAAGTCCTTGTTCCTGCTTTTGGAAGGCAAATCCCACCCTGGAACACCCCCCAAGCTGTCACCCCACTTCCCTCATGACAGCCCCACAGGGCCTGGCCCTGCCCACATTCCCCCCCTCATCTGGGCCCCGACCTGGGCTCCACCTCCATACTGACAGGCGGGCACACACACTCCTTGCACTCCTGGATTACAGCCTTCTCTAAGTTCCCCAGAGATCCCTGGCCTCCTCCAGCCTGGAGACTTCCACACGCCATGTCACCTCTGCTTGGAACACCCCTCCCCCTTCTTTTGCCAAGTCAGCCCCTTCCCCTTCATACCTCAGATTTCAACTTAATACCAGTTTTGATTTCTCAGAGAAATCTTCCCTAACTTACCAGGCTAAGTAATTCCTCCCCTTTAAACTATCTTTTTTTTAAAGTAAAACTTCTACAGACGTATATGAAGAAAACTGCACAACTCAGAAGCATCCACTTCTAATTCTCCCAAAGTCAGCACATCCACGTGACGGCCACCCGGCACTCCTCCCCTCCCAGCCACTGCCACCCCACCCGCGCATTTGTCTGTCTGCTTTGTCATCTCCACAGAGGCAGATGGCCAGGCCTCTTCATTCCACACTGCATTTGTTACGCTGGTGCATCAACAGTCAGAGTTTATTCTCTGTGCTGTGTAGAGCTTGCTGTGCAAATGTTCTAATACGTGTTTGTCCAGTCTACTGATGAAGGACACTGGGCTTCCAGTTTGGGGTCACTACGAACAGTGTTGCCATGGACATTCTTCTACTTCTACTTCTCATAGTTACTAACTCTGTGACCTTGGTTTCCTCATCTGTAAAATGGGGTTAATAACAGTACCAATTTCATAGGCTTGCTGCCATAATTAACTGAGTTAGCAGCTAACAGTTACACAGGCCATTATAAACACTTTACAAACATTATTATTATACTACTTTGGAGAGCTAAAGTTCCTGAGGAGGAAAACAAGAACTGTGTCTTAAGGAGAATTTTCAGAGCATTCTCTGAAGATGAAGGAACACAGCTGGGCCCTGGCTATACTTTGTACTACAGCACTGGTTGTGCAGCGTAAAGGAAAGGATAATTTTTTTTTTTTTTTTTTTTTTGGCCACGCCACACTGCATGTAGAACTTCCCTACCCAGAGATTGAACCCATGCCCCCTGCATTGGAAGTGCGGAGTCTTAACTAATGGACCACCAGGGAGGTCCAAATTTTTTTAATTAAAAAAAAAATGTAGGGAGAGGTGAAGAAGGATCTGTGAACACAGCTAGAGGCAAGGCTCCCTCACAGAAATGTCCACTACCATGTGGTCCTAAGTGTCTAACCCTAAGAACACTGCTCCTCCGGAATGGGACAAGGGCAAAGTAAGCATTAGCTGGGGTGCAGGGCTACAAAAGATCCAGAACTTAAGGGAGGAGCATAAGAGAAAGCCAACTCCTCAAGCATGCAAAGGACAGATAAGCATAATCAAGAGAAAAAACTTAGACCAGGTCATTCCAGCAGAGAGTGAGAAGGAAAACAAAAGAGCAGCTATGTAGTCTTCTCTTAGAAGTCTGGAAGAAGACATTTTCACCTCCTAAAAGGCAAAGCATAAAGACAGTCCTTTTTTCCAATCAATCAGCAAATGTTTCCGCTATGGGCAGTATATCTGCATAACTCACACAGTGTATTCCCAAGCAAACTAGAAAGAGACATGTTTGAAACTGTCTACCAAAGGATTAGAAGGAACTTATGTGAAGATGAGCAAAAAGAAAATGGACTCTGATGACAATAAAAAGCAAGAACCAGAAGAAATAGCAGTAGCAGAACAATGTTTAAAAAGCTTTACTGAGAGATTCCATTTTAATCATCAGAAAGTATTTGCTTCCCTGTAATCTACACCAAGTTCTGAATTATTACAAACACTAATGAAAGTGGAAATACAGCTGTGAAAAGGATGGAGCCACGTAAGAGAAAAAGAACTCAGAGAAGGCCTGTGGTGGAAAGTAAGGAGGGACACCCCCACTACTTCAGTACTGACTGGGGGAAACCAATGGAGAAGAGCAACTTCAAGAACCATTAGTTGTCAAATTCCTATGAACCAGACGTACAGGATGACACGCAGCCAACCTCTGCAGAACAGAGTTGAAGGTTGGTCTCGAGAGAACAGCATCGTTTCAGAAAGAGATCATCCCACACCACTGAAGATGGGATTCTGCAATATGATTTCCAAAGAGAGGATAAAAGTGCTGAGGGTGTGTAACACGTAGGACTTGGTACTGGGGTCAGCACCTTCAGCCCTATTTGAAACAAGGCATTGTCCAGTCCTGCTCCTTGCCTACTGGAGCCATCCAGGGCCTCCCAGCTAACACTACAAGCATGACCCACCCAAAGGGCACAAAGAAGTGACATCAACACCCCAGGGTAAGTCAACTTCAGCAGGGAGGCTCACCTATTTTAGACAGGAGCCCTTGAGAAAACGTTCAGGTACAAACAGAATGGAGAGACAGCCGCAAAGGGCTGAATGTTTGTGTTCCCCGAAAATTCAGAGGTTGAAACCTAACCCCAAGTCGACGGTGTTAGGAGGCGGGGCCTTGGGAAGTGACCAGGCCAAAGGAGTGGAACCCTCATGAGGGGATTAGAGCCCCTATAAGAGACCCCAGAGAGCTCTCCTCCCCCTTCTGCCACGTAAGGACACAGTCAGAAGTGGCCTCCACACTAGGGAAGGAAGCCTCACCACCATCTTGGACGTCCGGCCTCCAGACCCAGAAATATACATGTTCGTGTTTAAAGCCGCCCAGAGTTTACAGCCGCCCCGCGGACGAAGGCTACATTACTTTCAGTATTCAGGAAGGGTTTTGATCTCTGCAAGTTCAGATAAACCCCAGGACAAGGAACTTCTACTACCTGTCCTTGTTCAAAACTCGCCAAACAATGAATTTTCTCAAGGCAGCAGCCACCTGGGCCGCGTGAAAGCCACCCACAGCATCCACGCGGCGGTGGGGCATGCGCCGGACGGGCCTGGACCCGCGCCGACCTCCTTGAGGTTCGCGAAGCCGCAGGGCTG